TGATAGTGTAGGAATTTTGCGGGCATTTGCTGCAATTCAGCCGCCACGTATCAAACAACAGCATTCCAATATCTGGCTGAGATGGATGCCTTGGAAGCGGGTGTGCTGTCCGCTGTGCCGACACCTGCCCCCGGCCCTGCACCCGGCTTGGCACCGCCGGTATTGTGCCGAAACCTTGGCTTTCGAAGTTCAGAACATGCAAACATCGGTTGCTGCGATTTGGGGTGATGTCAGGAGACTGAGCGATCCGGCAAAAGGGTGCGCAGATGCCCGAACCTGAGAAACCTTGAAAGCTTGCTGGGGCATTAGCTCAAAGCATGTGCTTTGCATTTAAGCTCAACCAGCAGTAGTAGTAGTAGTAGTAGTAGTAGTAGTAGTACTACTACTTTAACGCCTTAGGGCTTCAGCCTGATAAATCCGTTGCCGTTGTTGTCGTGCTGAAGCATGCTAGACTGCCGGAAAAGTGCAGGTGCCGCAATTCATTGGAGGTGCGGTTCTTTGTGCATCAGCTGTATGCGTGCTGTTGAAGTACCAGTACTCCACATGCAGGCAGAAGCCATGCATGGCAAGGGACGTTTCCAAAGGCCACGAAAGCTTTTTTGCGTCGTTGCACGAGAGTGCAGACGCAGTCCGGGACCTTCAGAGCGTCTTCGTGCTCGCTGCTCCATGGCTCCGTCGAGGCTTCGGCGGCCGTCATCACTGTGGCGAAGCTCGCTCAGTCAGTTCATGGTCGGTGGAAGGTGGGAGAGCGGTTCGCGGCCTAGCACCACAGCCCTCCCGGCGTGGAACGTGTGAAACCCCTGATGACAAGATGAACATCGACCCTTTGCGGCAGGTTCCTTGTTTTGTTAGATCAGGTTGCAGCTGCATTTGCTGCTATTGCGCCTGTGCCCAAGTGCCTGAGCAACTTGTGGAGAACTATCTATGGTGGTGGTCGTACAAGCCAGGCATGAGACAGAGCGACAAGAGGCACGCACGATTTTCATTGCGAAGTTTTCGAAAATGTCAATGGCGGCCTGTTTCAGGATTGCATTGCTCCAGAATTGTACAAGCGCCTCTTCCACGTGGAACTGTGACGGTCTTAATTAAACGTTTCGCGAGTCGGGCTTATAATTGTATGGCCACTTCCCTTTTCTGGTTTTTTTCTCAGGTCCGCGGAGTCTCCCGAGCGGGCAACCTTCGCCGGAAGTGTGGTGGGTGTGGATGCCAAGGTGACTGACATGTTTGCGATGATGGAGTGTGGTATGCACAGGATGAAGAGCGTGGCAGGCAGCGGCAGCAATACGCGCCATCGAGCGGTACCAAAAGGTGCGAGTTGCTGTGTCGCCAAGACTTGCTAGCAGCACTAGCAGTTTTTGCACGGGTGTCGAGGAACATAGACATCGGTTCATGTACTTTTCCAGCAGTCCGCATCCCTGGGAGTCCATGGTCTTGCTTGTTTCCTCTGTTGTCGACGATACTTGAGAATCTGGTCGTATGTTCCAAGCTTCGGTGCGGAGCATGTCGGTGACACCAGGTCGCGCATAAAAGGGCAAAGGAATGCGGAATGCTGCCCACTACGCTGGCATTCAGTTGTTCAAGTCAGCCGTGTATCTCCACGGTGATTCGTACACATAAGGGAAGGAAACTCTGCTGGCAAGTTTAAGTGCCTGACTGATTTGTTTATGTAGACTGAAGGCCCGATGCATGTGCTGGTCGTCTATCCAGCCTGCAGTTGTGGCTTTGGCCATTCAGCGAAATTGCAGCCTTGCGTTTTGTTGATTCTGTGGGTAACGTTCACACGGTTACTGTCGACTTGTTGGAAAGACTTCGAGATCGATTCCCGTCGTTGTTCATTCTTGAGCAGCTTATGCAAAAGAGTCGGCCAGGTGCTGAAGCAGTGGCTGCTTACCATGTCAATGGACATTTCAAGCTCTGCTGACACGGCCGCAAATCGTGCCATCCTCAGACCCAGAAGTGCAGGTCTGTGCCTCGGACTTGCCAGCAGTTGAACCCAGGTTGCACAAGAACGACCACCAATGCCCGATTCAGAGGAGATGCCTCTGCTGCGACTGGATCTGGCATCGCGAAAGAATAAAATGTCCTTTCTGGCAACTCTTGGAGAGGTCCGGTTGAGTTCTCCACAGCAATGCACTCAGGTATTTTGTTCGCAGGCTGACAGTCGAGAGAGAACATGCTTGTCGAGTCATTGCCTGCCTGCCGCTCGCATTTTCGTCAAGCTTGAACATGTTTGAACCATCAGTAGGTTACATCATGACATGGCAAGTTCCACACATGCATGCCAGGGCAATCTGCTCGGAGCAAGTCTGGCGTGATATGACGTGTTCAGCCGCTTCCATGGGAGATTCCAGCCTGTGACTGGCACCACATGAAACCACTGAAGCAAAGTCACATTATAGCTGCCCGCCTGAGTGTCATAGAAACATAAATTTAAATGTTTATCTGCACACCCGTACATCGTCAACAACGCGGTTTAATGACTGCTTGAAGCAGCTCGGTAGTCTGACACAAAGGCCCTTGAGCGAAAGATCTGATGCTCAATTGCACCCTGCCCTGGACCATGAGCAGCGTCCGCAGCCCACCTGTCTGTCGACTTGCATTGGATCGTTCCTGAGATAGTATCATGGAACTGGAGGAACATCGTACCTCCGACGTGTCCTCTTTAAACCCAGCCTGACACACAGACATTGCCATGCTGGCGGTCCCCATCAAGTCCCCAAGCCAAAGAGTCACAGAGTAGTAGCATCTTCCGGATTGCTCCGGGGCCATGTGGAAACGCAGCGGTGCCTGAGCTCGAGCACCACTGCGGGCTGGCACGCCGCTAGTTGGCAACACAGCGCATTTCAAAGGTATATTGTTCGTCGGCAGGCTTTCCGTCGAAGACGCTCGCGGAGACGGTGCCTAAACCAGTATCAGACGCTCTGTCAATTACTCTGCCCTGACGGAGAGCCAGACACCCCAAAAAATCTGAGTCATGCCCAAGCACCACCCAGCCCGCCACGACATGGAAGTAGCGGTGTTCGGCATGATGTGGTTGTGGCCTTCGAAACAGAAACATGCCATGCATCCGCCTGCTCTTGCGTGGACGGTCGTGTGGCATCTGGCGGGGAAATGCAGCCTCTGAACTCAGCCACGTCCAGCCTCGCTTCGTCAAACAGCCCCAGGTACACAACCCAGACCCTGCTGTGAAGCGCCGGGTGAACAAAGAGGGAGTTGGCTCTATATCTGCAGGTGCGAAGCCTGCGCCGGGTGCCCCCTGCAGAGGCAGGGGGTGAAATGCCAGAGGAGGCCGGAGTGTGGGTTGCAGGGCTCTACTGTAGCAGGGAGACCGCGGAGGTGATAGATGTTCGTGCCTCGGGTTCAACAAAGTTTTGTACAGCCATGTGCATCAGTGTTGTTATGCAGTTCCAGTGATTTCACGACTAGCAATGTGTCGCACAGCGAAAAACCGCACGCACACATCCCCCGCAGCAATGATCACCCGCACCTTTGTGAAGAGTCGGCGCTATAGAAGACCCATGTTTGAACACTTTCGGCCCCCATGTGTCAGGTTAGGCTTGCACATTTGCTAAAGGGCTTTCCCGGAGATACCATGCATGTTGGCAGGCATCATGGGCAGTGTAGTTTCACGCAGCTACTACACTACACCTGCCTGTCAACACGTGTTCGCAAAGTCCTAAACCCCCCATGCTAAGCATGCATGGGACCTCCCCCCTCTCGCCCCCGCCAGGTGATGGAGAACCGTGCAAAGCCTGCAGCTGAGGAGCAGCTCTTTCCTTGGTGAGTAGGGCTCCCAGAGTACTCCACAGTATTTCTCGTATTCTACATATATGTATATATGTATACATGTATATGTATA